CAATAGAAGACAGTCTTTTCATCCCTTTTTTGGCCCAGTTACCCATGCAGATGCCAGAACAGTGCGAGCATGGACCCTCTTGCTTGTGGATCCCGTTGTCCATCAAAGCATTGTGATGATGTTTAACCTTGGTGCACTTAATGGTGCACCAAGAGAGCATATGCATGGCATTCCAGGAAGAGAACAACTCTTGGGATGTCATGGACATTCAGTTCATCCAAGCCCTTAAGTTGAGTGAATTGGAAATGCTGTAGGCATTCAGTTTTCTGGAAATAGTAGAATGTTGGTTCTGGTGCAGTCAGACAAGTATAGACTGGATGGACCATGTAGTGCTGGAGGCATGGGATGATTAGCAGTGCCTGCAAATTTCCAAATATGCAAAGCCTCTTTCATGGAACTTTGTGAATTGTTTTCACAAACAGTCCTGCTCTGAAGCACAGGAACACCAAAATGAGACCCACTCTGAGGCTACAGCTACACTGTAGCCTTCTTCTGGAAAAGCTTATTTAAATGAAGTGCAACGTGGAATATCGCCACTCTTCATTTTCACAATTAATTAGCAGCCACTTTTGTGCAGAAGCTTTCTTGTGTAAGAGCAGTTCTTCCGTATAAGCTTTTCCAGAAGAAGGCTGTAGCTTGACAGTGGAGAAGTATGTGGCAATTGCCTTGTGGAAGCTTGCAGTGCCAGACAGCTACCGGTCAGTTGGGAATCAATTCAGAGTGGGGAAATCTACCATGGGGGCTGCTGTTATACAGATAGCCAAAGCAATCACTACCATTCTGTTACAGAGGGTAATGACTCTAGGAAACATGGATGCCACAGTGGAGGGCTTTGCCATTATGGGATTCCCTAGCTGCTGTGGGGCGATAGATGGAACACACGTCCTCATCTTGGCACTTGACCACATTACCAAGGAGTATATAAACCGCAAGGGGTACTACTTGATGGTCATATATGCATTTGTGGATCACAAGAGTCATTTCACTGACATCAACATGGGATGGTTGGGAAAGGTGCATGATGCATGCATCTTGAGGAACTCCTGCCGCTTCAGAAAGCTGCAAGTTGGAACTTATTTCCCAGACCAGAAAATTAGAATTGGAGAGTTTGAAATAGTGATCCTTGGCAACCCAGCTTACCCCTTGTTCCAATGGCTCATGAAGCTATTCGTGGGCAACCTGAACTCCAGAAAAGAGCAGTTCAACTACAAACTGAGCAAGTGCAGAATGGTGGTTGAATGTGATTTGGGGCAGTTAACAGCAAGTTTAGGAGTTTACTGACTAGGTTAGACCTCAACAAATGCAACATTCCTTTTGTGGTGGCAGCCTGCTGTGTCCTCCATAATATTTGTGAGAGCAATAGTCAGAACAGCCAGCCGCCAGGACAATAAGGATAGCAAAGTGCAGGGCAGCACAAATCAGAGAGGCTTTGAAAGAAAGTTTTATGATTGGCCAGTTTTGAGAGTCATGCCCATTGCTCTCAATGAGGTGCCCCTGCATTCGGTGTTTGCCTGTACTCCCCCTCCCTCACTCTTGCAATGCACACAGTAAAGAGACTGTTGTTCAGAAATCATGTGGTGTTTTTTGTTTGTTTGTTTTTTGGGAACACAGAAGGGACAGAAAAAGAGTCCATGGTGTGACCCTTGCAGGGGGGAGGTAGGGGAGGGTTGCAGGCAGGGGAAATCAGAAATATGAGAAGGACAGCCTTTTGCTTTCAGAAGCTCTGGAGGTTGGGTATGGGGCTGCCCTTGAATCCCACCTCCGCTGTCTGCACAGCAGGAAATCCAAGGAAGAACACTCTTCCTCCAACTTCCCTTACTCCTTATGAAATGAGGGTTACAGGAGTTGGAGTAAGTCCTCCACAGCAAGCCATTATTTCGAAATAATGGCTTGCTGTGGAGGACTTACTCCAACTCCTGTAACCCTCATTTCATAAGGAGTAAGGGAAGTTGGAGGAAGAGTGTTCTTCCTTGGATTTCCTGCTGTGCAGACAGCACCAAAAGCCGAATTAAGCTATTTCAACTTCAGCTACACAATTGACATTGCCAAAGTTGCGCAGCTTAATTCGTCTTTTGCTCTGCTGTGTAGATGCACCCTGGTAGAGGAGGCCACGGAACTGGGTGAGGAGGGAAAGTTGTTCCCCGAGGGGTGGGTGGGAGCCTATCTAGGTATGTGTCTTGGAAAGCATCCATCACAGATGTCAAAGATGAAACATGATCCTTGTGCTTCACTTGCAGTTCTCTGCATGCTTTCCTTTCCTCACATGCCACTCTCGTCTCCTCCAGTAGTGTCTTCCCGCACTCATCTACATATTGCAAGTGGGCGGACTGCGTTTGCTCCTTGAACGTGTCTTCCCTTGTCCATTTTTGCTTTCGGATTTGTACAAGCTGGACAGCTGATGGGACCATGGGGGAGGCAGAAGGGAGGGAGGAGGTGCCAGAGGCTGAAGCCATGCTTAACTGGGGATGGGCACATGGAGGTGAGCAGCAGAGGTAGCAGCTAATAGCTTCCCTTCCTTCACCCAGGTTGCTATGCCAGATATCAGTCTTCTCCATATCACACTCTGGCCACATTCAGTCAGCATCAGCTTCCTGTCACTGTGGGTGTCTACAGTGCATTCCTCTTTCAAGAGAGAAATGCAAATGCAGCCTTTATTTGCATAATCGCGTCCGGCCGCTATTTCGAAATACCCTATTTCGAGATAAAAGACGCCATGTAGACACGGTTATTTTGAAAGAAACCCCTTCTTTCGAAATAACCCTTACTCCTTAAAAAATGAGGTTTAATGGTTATTTCGAAAGAAGGGGTTTCTTTCAAAATAACCGTGTCTACATGGCGTCTTTTATCTCGAAATAGGGTATTTCGAAATAGCGGCCGGACGCGATTATGCAAATAAAGGCTGCATTTGCATTTCTCTCTTGAAAGAGGAATGCACTGTAGACACCCACAGTGACAGGAAGCTGATGCTGACTGAATGTGGCCAGAAACCTGGGCCTTATGCTGCATTGATGCCAGACCGCTTACTGGTAGCTTGGTGTGGGAAGGTGTCCTCCTGTGGAGGACGGAATAAGACAGCAGGCCTTCCCAGCAACCTTGTGAGAAGGATCAGAGAGTTCCTCTATGAGAGCTTCATGGAGATGTGTCCTGCTCCATATCTACACACCTTAACAAGCTGTTCTGGACCCCCTGCACTGTGTAGACATAGGTTCATCACACCCGATTACCTTAACCTGCATGTAGCAAGAAAAAAAAGTGTGCTCCCCAGTAAGGATGTTAAAGAGCAGTTTGGCTAATCATGTAGTCAATATAATTTGTATCAACTACACAATTAGTTGATAAGGGGGCTGCTCTGCAGAGCTGTAGCAAGGGTAGCTCCCGGAGCCTGTGCAAACCAGGACTGAGCAGTCCCAGCTCACGCCGGTTCTGGACCACTGTGGCTCTGCATTTTAAATATAGCAAGAGCTGGCTGTTTGGGCCAACTCTCTCAATGTAGAGGGGCTCTAAACATACCAGCAGAACATGCACAAACACTTTCTTGGGCACAGACAACAAAGCGATTGACCTCTTGCTCTTACATTAACTGCACAAGCCCTTGCCCTCATAAAGTGAGATCACAATACCATGGGTCCAGGCAGTTGGCAAGGTTCCAGGCCAGCCTACCTCTCCTAAATATTGACACTGAAAACAGCCTGATTCTTACTGCATTGTTTCCCAGGGAGCTGGGTGGGCCCCTCTGGAGGAGTATGAAGGACTAGCTCAGGTTGGGCCTCTGAAATCTCTCTCAGATTTTTTTCCAGCTCCTCAGTTTAATTGAGCAAAGCAAAGCTGTTATGGTTGTTGAGAAAACCTTCAGAAAAGGAAGCAAATGCAGCCAGTATAGTGATGTCTGCCTCAGTCAACTGCTGCGGGGTGGGGGTGGTTTGAGCGAATGAATGGTGTAAAGAAAGTGCTAGGACAGGGTTATTTGTCCCCTCTTGCAACACAACAACTAGGAGTCACCCAGTGAAAGTAATAGGCAGCAGGTTTTAAACAAACAAAAGCAAATACTTTCCCCCCCCCCCAC